GTCAACCGGTCAGTTTCGATTTAATTGTGGTAAATAATATGTGCTTTATTAAGGGTCATTTGCAAAAATAACCCAAAAAAAAATAAAACATAATATCTAACCAAAACACATAAATCTAATGGCTATAGTTTTGCCACATAAAAGTGTTTTGGTTAGATAATAGATTATGTTTTTTTCCTTGGCTATAATTGCCAATTTCCTTTTGGGGGGGGGGGGGGGGTGTTCCTATGTTTGTTAAACGTGAACGCAACTTGGCCCAATGGGCCTTAAAGTCTTGTTTTGAGAACAAAGAAAAGTCGAAAACACTAGCCGTTACACAACACATAACTTTGCTCTGTTCGTGATCTGTCTCCTTCGCTTCAGCAAATCCCAACGGTCATATTTTGGAAATTTCCGACCGTTTGAATCTCCCTTTCACTTCTCTACATAAACCCCAAATCAAACCCACAACAATAATCACACAATTCACAAGCTTCTTCCTTCTTCATCTCGATCACAAAAATCCATTTTTTTCTAAAAACCCGAATCAGAAAAGAGTTCATAATCATCAATCATGGGTTTAATTCCTCAACCACAACAATCAATCGAAGAATCTCATTACTATACCCACAAATTCTTCCTTTTCTCGAACTACATCCTCCTCGGTGCATCCTCGAGTTGCATCTTCCTCACACTCTCTCTCCGCCTAATCCCTTCGCTCTGCGGTTTCTTCCTCATCCTCCTCCACGCCACCACAATCGCAGCCGCAGTCTCCGGTTGTGCAGCTGCTTCCTACGGTAAGAACCGGTGGTACGCAGCACATATGATTGCAACTGTCCTCACTGCTATTTTCCAAGGATCAGTCTCTGTTCTCATCTTCACCAACACTTCGAATTTCCTTGCGAGTCTTAACTCTTATGTTCGTGAAAAAGAAGCGTCTATGATCTTGAAGTTAGCTGGTGGGCTATGTGTTGCGATCTTTTGTCTTGAGTGGATCGTTCTTGTTCTTGCTTTCTTCTTGAAGTACTATGCTTATGTCGATGGTGGTAACAACAATGGAGTTGCTATGAAGAGGACTGGTAAGGTTCAGAGTGATGAGACTTTCAAAGATTCGCCATGGACGTTGCAAGTTTGAAAAAATTTAATTTCTTTGTAATGATTTCGAGTAAGGGGAGAGTTTTTGTATCAAATGTTAGTTTGATCTGTTTTTTCAGGGTTTTGTTTCTGGGTATTGAAGAATTGTTGTGGTCGATTACTGTGTTGATGATTCTGTTACTATTAATTTATTCATGGCACCTCTATTCCTATCATTAATTAAATTAATTGTTATTTGCTTTATTCATTTTCAACTGTAAATCATGAATAAATTTAAAAAATGGCATTTAGATTTTGCATAGAAAATAGTATCAAACATTGAATAAACAAGCAAGAGAGAAGATTGGTTGAGTTTTACAAACCATTCTTTACTAAAAAGTGAACATTATTGAGTACTGATACAACAAAAAGAGAATCAAAAAAGAAAAGTAAAGTCTTTAAGTCTTGTTTTTGGTAACCAGACATTATCACTACTAACACTCAAACATCTTTTTCTGGTCTTGACTGATTCAAACAAGAACCATAACCTAACCACATATCTACAATGTTCCGTATAAAAACAAAACACATTCAAATGGACTTTCGTGGTCTTCATGGGTGTGAGATGTTGGTGACAAGACTTTATGGCTTACATGGGATAATTTGAAAGAGAATTGTGTAGTAAACTTCTTAAGCCCTGATCTCTCGACCAAAAATCCAGCTGAATGGAATGTTTTTGGCTGCTTCTTTGGCTCTTCCTTGAGCTCTCTCTTCGATTTTGCGGATTCTTGCAGGTAGTCCGCAGACAAAGTCCTGTTAAAGGCAATCATAGATTCAGAATTCAAGTTCAGGTCCGCGAACAGATCTTCAATTACACAAAACAGACCAAGAAGTCTAAGCTAATATAGTATTCATACCCAAAACTACTAAGAGATTCTAAGAAGTAGAATACGGAAAAGAAATAGAAGTATCATGGATGGAGGTAATTTACCTGAGCCCTGTGTCCTTCACTAGAAAGGCCTGACAAAGTCTCTACGTTCCACCGTTCAACAAGAAACTCCAGAATATCAGCATAGTCCTTGGCGGTGTAGACACCGAGCCTCTGGGCAACGGTTGAAAAGTGCTCAAACAGGTTATCATCTTGGCCATCATACATTAAATGTGCAGGCATTGAGATCTTTTTCTTCATCATATCAGCCAATCCCAAGATCGTACCATCAGGGTCAATTTCAAAGAGCTTCTCTACAATCTTGGTGTAAGCAGTCTCATGGCGCTTCTCATCAGCAGCAATGGTCCCACATATCTGCGCAAGTTTCAAATCTCCACGATCTTTCGCCAGTCTAGCAGTATTTCCATGGGAGATGAAGGTAGCTCTTTCTTGAAAGGAAGTGTAGATGAAACCCAAGTAAGGGTTGTTTTCAGTTTTTGGATCCTAAGAAGATAAGACAATCAACCAACCATGTACGGGAAATTAAGAATATAAACTTTACAAATAAAAGGAAAATCGTAAACATATCTAAAGTGGCACCTAAGAGGAAACGCTTCTTTTAGCGATTTGTCACTATGGAGACTAGCATTACCTAGAAATGACAACATAAGTTCCAACACAAGTAAAAAAATTTGATGCATAGTTTATGAATGTATTTTCATCGTAGGTCATTCTCAACTACAGCAAAAATGCAATTTCAGAGGATGAGGGTTTATTAAAGACCTTAAAGCAAAAGTTATCAGAGGAACTTACCATTCCAGAACCAATCAAGTACTGAATAGTCTTCTCAATCTGCCTCATGTCTACTCGACCAGACAAATAAAGATACTTATTAAGAAGATCCCCATGCCTGTTCTCTTCAGCAGTCCAAGCCCTCGTCCATATCGCCCAAGGAGTAGGACTCGCTCCCGTCTCATCTCTAACTCCATCCAACGTGTTCAACATCGTCTGGTAGGTCGGAAGCGCTTCTTCAGTGATCATATCCCCAACAAGCACCACAAAATAGTCATCAGGAAGTTCTTTACACCTTTCTCTTAACTCCTTAACTTGGTCATAGAACCCTTCTGACTCAGCTTCGGGTAGAAAATCGGTCGGCTGCCACGACTTCTCAACAGGTTTTAAGTAAGTCAAGAGGGTTTCATCAGCCCATCCTTCCAAGGACTTAAAAATCTCCAACTTTTGTGGTGGCATTGAATGTTTCACTTGGACATGTACCTCTCGAGGAGGGATATACAGTTTCCTTCCATTCGTAACCTCTCTGTATTAAACCAAATATTCAAAATCAAATGGACTTCAGCGAGTGATCAAGCTAACTACACAACACTAATAGGCTTTACTAAATCTGTTCTGCTCAATGCATCATAAATAACAGAGATTGAAATTGAGATTGCACTGGATCAACACTCAATCGAAATACCCAGATCAGGAAACAATCGAAGCACACGATTTAGATAATGAAGCGAGAAAACTTACGTAGTAGCAGAGCGAATCGAAGAAGCCATGGAAGATCTGGATCGCCGAGCTTGAGAAGAAGGACAATAGACGTAAGATGAAGGAGAAACAATGATCCGATCCATAGCCATAGCCATAGCCATTTTCTCCCTCTAGCTTCTTCTTCTCTAACAAACTCAATCAATCGACGATGATGATGAAAGTGATTATAAAGAAGAAACAACAACGAATCCCAAAAAGGTCGATTATTTCTATGATACGAGACTGTGACAAATGTTAAGGTTTT